ATCTTAATGAGATTTCTTGGCAAATGATTTGGACACAGTTCAAAGTTTTCACACTGAAAGCTCAGAACAAAACAATGTTACATATCTGTTCTTTCTGCTCTCTCCCAGCTATTTTACATATCACTTCTTTCAATCAACTCTTCTATATAATGTGAGAGTCACAAACTACCAATTAAATCTTTAGACCAGCGGTTCTCAACCTGTGGGTCGGGACCCCTTTGAGGGTCGAACCACCCTTTCACAGGGGTCACCTAAGACCATCAGAAAATACATATTTTTGAAAAAATAAGGAAAACATAAAATAATTTTATGATGGGGGGGTGTCACCACAACATGAAGAACTGTATTAAAGGGTCGCGGCATTAGGAAGGCTGATAATTTGACTGGCTAATCTGTTTAACAGGGTTGCAGTTAGACAGCAAGCCTTCTCTTGCTGAAAACTTTCTGAAAGAGAACTCCATTTTATTTTGATCTCCTTCCCTTAGGGAAGTGAAGACTGGCCATGAAAGCCAACTGGGTGAGCTTGGGTTAATCAGTTTGGCCTAATGGTTAAGGCACTAGGTTAGAAAGTGGGAGACTATGAGTTCAAGTTTCACCTTAGTCATGAAAAAGAGATGGGTGACCTAGAATCAGTCACTCTCTCTCAGCCCAGCTCAACTCATAGGGTTTTTGTGGAGAAAATAGGAGGAGGAAGGTATGTTGGATATGTTCACTGCCTTGAGTTATTTGCAAACATAATTTTAAAAAGCAGGATACAAACAAACAAACAAACAAATAAAAATACAACTGAAAATGAAATATGAAAGTCTGCTGATGGAATTTAAAAAATCCCAAATTAGCTACAGTTCTGCTTGGAGGACGAGCAATTCCAACTATTGCTAGCATAGTCTACATGTCTATTTAGAACAATAATTATCAAAGAATAGATAGCAAAGGTCTACATATGATTCTGTGCAGTATCTCAACATTCACAGATGAAAACATGTTTGCTGCCCAAGTAACACTTTCTTTCAAACATCAACTTTAGCTATTGGGAGGGGTACTGATATGTCTACCTTTCTGTATGCAGCAGCAGTAGATGGCTCATGAGAAGGAAACTGATTGAAAACTAGTTCTCCAAAGTATACAGTTGATAGGACAAACAGTAAAAGAAAATAAGTTTCAACTATAGTTATGGGCTGTGAGCCTCAATGTTAAGTGGAACTAGAACATCACACATCCAACACAAGAAAAGCACAGTTAAAATGTACTAAAATGGAATATCATTAGGCTTCTAGTCCTTTGAGTCTCAAATATTTTTACTGAAGAACATCATTTACTGAAGAACATATAGCAAGTTTATGCTAAGAGTTATTATTACAGCATGAAGTACAAAAAAGTTATAGTAAATATCTGTCTTTCTTTTTTCTTTTGGTTAAAATTTTGTTTAAAAAGACCTTTACAATGAAAGGAATGAGAAGGTATATACAAAGGTAATTATAATCATTATATGTCAATGAATAAAAAAACCATGCTTATAAAAATGAAAATATTGGGAATGGGTATACATGTAGCCTTCAACTTATGACCTGTCTTTTCACAATTCATAGTCATGACTGCCTTGGAATGGAGCTTTACAGCCCATAAAGCACTTCTGGGCAACATAAAACATTTTGCCGATTCTCCACCACCCAGTCATATGGCCGCATTTCCAGCACTTAGCAACCTGTCTGCATTTATAATGGGGTTGCCTACTGCCCTGTGATCATGTGATCACCATCTTCTGTGCCAGTTTCCTCAGAAAGTCAATGGGGAAGCCGACAGGGAAGGTTGCAAATGGAGGGGACAATGGATTAGAATTCCATTCTCCCAGCATGCCAAGGAATATCTTCTCCACTCCATACAGGGAGAAGTAATCTTTCCGTGTGCTGGAAGATTGGGGGTCTAATCCAACCCACTGCCTAGGCAGGGAGCCAGATTCACTTAACAACTTGTTACAAACTTAACTACTAAAGTGATTCAGTTAACAATTGCGACAAGAAAGATCACAAATAGGGTAAAATTCACTTAACGATTGCCTCACTTAGTAAGAGAAAATTTGGCTTAATTGTAGTTGTAAGTCAAGGACTACCTGTAGTTACTAATACAGCATTTGGGATATATGGGTATTGATTCTTTTATTTTGTTAACTGTTACTATTGTTATCAATTACCTGTGTGTGTGTGTGTGTGTGTGTGTGTGTGTGTGTGTGTGTGTGTGTGTGTTGTTCAAAATATTGTCAGTAAGTGCATATTGCTTAAATGCGCTTATAATAAATAAATAAAAATGATGATCCAGGAACATAATTATGCATGCATGAATTAAATGAGGTAAAACAGAAATGAACTCATGAAGTCTGTGCAAGTCAGAGAAGAGGAAATAACTTGGTTACCATGACAATACAGGTGTTTCTCCACTTTCACGTTAAAGAAAGCAAGTTCAGCATGGCTTAAGTTTAAAGAAATTCTATTAGATAAAATGTTGAAATGGTTATATGTTGCTAAGTGTATTCTTTTAAAAATACAAGCATGCAAAGTCCACTAGAGTCAAAAAAATGGTGGCCAGTATACAGAAGTAATCACACATATTTACCTAAAATTGCATTAGGTAAGCATTTGGCAAAATAAATATACAAGGTGACTATACAGAAGAATTAAAAGCATTGTTCTGCTCTACAAAAGCAAAACAAAATCAAATTGCACAAATATTGGAGTTTCAGGAAAAAGGCAACCAGGAAACCTAAAGAATTATTTTATTTACTGTGCATCATTAAATGTTACTTTTAATAAGAACTTAAGTTCTCCAAAGACTGCACCCTTGTCTGTGATATTTCCTCAGACAATGACAATTTATGTACCTGTGCCAAATTTATTAACTTGAAAAATACATTTTGAGCAGGCATTATTGCAATAAAATTTGAACTGCTAATCTAAAACAGTTTTTTGTTTGTAAACTGAAAGCTCTAACCTACTTATTATAGTGAGGAAAAAATAATCAATGCACACATAACTGATCTGTATTTTAAAAAAACCAGTGTTTCCCCTCCAAAACAACCAGATTCAGCTGTCTATATGCTTACTTAAAAATCTCTTGAGAGATAAATATAATTTAAATAGTAACTGAACAGATCACATAGATGTACACGCAAGAACATTTGCTTTTTTGAAGCTGACCTATTTATTAAAAATAAATAAATCTAACAAATTAGATATTATTTATCAGAAGGCTCCTATTAACAACTGAAGCCCAACCACAATCAAATGCAAATTTCATTTGTTATCTTGGGATCAGGAATGTGACAAATGTTCCTACTCAATAAGCAGGCATCATAGTCCTGTTTTGCCCAAGGAAAAAACAGCTTTCAAAATTCTTGACTACATCATCTTTCATATCAGACTTGTACATGCTCACAACTTGTTAAAAATATAACAGCACCAGCAATTAGGTGTGGCTTTAAAATTATTTTTAAAGTTTTTCTATTTAAACAGAGATTTAAACAAATGTATCCACTGAGCTTTCCAATAAAACATTTTTTTCAATATTTTGAAAGAAACTCTTTAAAATTACAGTATATTGAAGCAAATTAGTTTTTATATATAGGATAATATTTTAAACACATTAAATGTTTTCACAAATAATCAGTATAGAAACCAATTGGTTGTCAAAATTATGTACAAAATAAATGTACTGCATTGAAATTGTTCAAGTGTCTAAAAGATCCCAATATAATTTCTACTTATCCTAATCTGAGATTTCTAAAAAGAAATAAGAACCCTGTTATGTGCGCTTTCTTAAATCAAGCTTCTATGGAAATTAGAACACAGTACTCAGAAAGGGTGACAATATTGGAGCTCAGCCAGGTAATAGTCCTCAAATTACAACAGTATGTTCAGTGATATTTCAAAGTTACAATGGCACTGAAAAAAGAGACTTATGTGATTGTTTTTCACACAACCATTGCAGCACCCCCTTTGTTACATGATAAAAATTCAGAAATTTGGCAATTGACTCATATTTATGATGGTTGCAGCATCCTGGGCTCATGTGATCCCTTTTGCGACCTTCTGATGAGCAAAATCAGTGTCAGATTCACTTAACAACCATGTTATTAACAACTGCGTGATTCACTTAACAACTGTGACAAGAAGTGTCGTAAAATGGGGCAAAAGTCACTTAGCAACAGAGATTTTGGGCTACAATGTGATGGTGACTAGAGTACTACCTGTAATGGAAAAAGTGCAGGGGGAAGGGAGTCAGGAAGTGCTAGTTGAGGAATCACTGAAAGGAAATACAAGGTTGATCCAGGGATTGCAGTGGCTGGACAAGGCCTGTAACATGAACGGCAAAGCAAAAGAAGGGGGGGGGGGACCTGGGGAATGTGGTGGTGGGGTGTGTGCCTGGAGAATCACGACCACGGGGGTCCTTGGGGGAAGTGGTAAAGCCAGGGCACGGTGTCCTTCTCTTTACACCCGAAATCCCTTCCTCGCCGGGTGGAAATGACGACGGCTGGCAAGCATTTTGCAAGCATTAAGACGCGGGGTCAGGTACAAACAGATTATTCCCTGCCGAGAACGACCGAGGCCCTAACAATAGAGGCCGGTCACTTTCTAATCAAAAAAGGTAACGCCAGCAAAACCCAGACTCTCCCCACTCCACCCCTCCGTCCCTCCTGCACCCCAACGCGCCGGCACAATGTACGCGAAGGAAAGGGGAGCTCTTTCCCGGGAAGCCGCCGCCGGGTCTCTCACCTCGGGAAGGGGCGGAGTTTCCCCTCGGCGGGGATGGAGGCGTCCGCAGGACGGGAAGATCGGGGAGGGGGAGAGTTGGGGCATGTGTGGTTGTTGAGGGTGGGGGAAGCGGCCAGCAACAACAGCGGTTTACCTCTCCACCTCCTGGGGCGGAAAAGAGCGGAGGAAAGGTGGGGGGGGAGGCCCTGAGGGGAAAAACAACCTTCCTCGTATTTCTCCGTCTCTCTCTCTCACCTCAGTAGGGGGACTGATCTCAAACAGGTCCAGCCGGTTCGCGTTCCAGTGGTTGATGATATCGGCCAGCTTGCGCCGTTCCTCTTCGCGGCTACCTCCTCCAACACCGCCGCCGCCGCCGCCCGACATCCTTCTCGGCCGTCCTCCGGGTTTCTGGCAGCCACCGACACGACGGGAGGGCCCGTGACGGCCCGGCAACGGAGTTCCCGGTGAATATGTCGGAGTGGTTTTATTTCCCCCTCCCCACAAAAAAAGAAAAAGCGGGGTGTGTGAAGCAAAGGCAAGCGGGGCAACCAGTTCTGGTGCCGCCCCTCGCCGAGCAAATCCTCCTCCTTCACGAAGCCCAGACTTTGCTCCCTTCGCTTCAAGCGCAGGGCACTCGGAGAGGCTCTGAGGTTTTGGTGGCAGCGCTTCCTGTTCGGCAACGTCTCTCCTTTGCCTCACGGAACGCCGCCGCCGCCGCCTCACTCCCCGCCCCGGTTGTCTCCTTTCCTTCCTCCCCGCCTTTTCTCAGAGAGAGAGAGAGAGAGAGACGCTCACAGACACCGATTCGTGCGCGCGGCCGCTGCCCCGTTCTATCACGAGCGCGTCACACACGCCGCTCACCTCCTCTCCTCCTCCTCCCTCCCCCCCCCCACCTCGCCGGTCCTTTGCGCGCGCACCTCCAGGAAAGCATCCGCGCGCCGATGTCAGGTCAAGAGCGGGCGAGGGCGCGCTGGGAAAGCAGCTGTAACGCCTATCGTTCCCACCTCCCTCCTTCCCATAGCGTCGGGGGAGGGGAGGGGGGTTGTGTGTGCGTGTGTCTCTGTGTAAGAGGAGGAATTAGCACTTTGAGGGCGTTGAGTTTTGAATCCGCGTGGACAAGGGAGAGTCGCGCGGTAGCCGGGCCAAGCTGCAAGGAACAATGAAGGGTGGCGACTGAAAAGGGGCTGGGTCTGCATGGAGGACGAGGTTGCGGATAAGAAGCGCTTGGGAGTTTACGTTCGCGTTTATTTTTGTTTTCAGTCGCTCAAGTTCTATAAAGGGCTGCTTGCAAACAACGTGCCGTGAGTCCCTGAAGAATAAAACAGCACAATGTGGAGAACCGGACGGCGCTGGACTTGAGTTTAAAGTAGTCTTTTTAATTGTGCTGGAACCTTGTTCAGAGTTGGGCAAGTCTCAATTTTTTTTTTTACACAAGAAAAATCTAGACCGTGGAATGAAGTTTCTTGGCGACGAGCCTCACTACACCTGTCCGGTTAACCCGGTTGAATTTAGTGAGGTCTGTTGCTGAATGCGTGCTTTTAATGTCTCAGGATTTAATTCCATTGAACTCAAGATAGGTCGGGGAAGTTCTGAGGGTCATAGATGTTATTTTTTTCTCTTGTTCAAGCCTATTCTCCCTAAAACAACAGAAAGAATTTCAGAGAAAATGCAGGAAATCCTACATGAAAAAAATATGCAGCTTTGGAATGAGATTATTATAAAGTGTAAAATAGCTATAGCAGTTAGATTTATATACCACTTCACAGTGCTTTACAACCCTCTAAGTTTACAGTGTCAGCATATTGTTCCCAACAATCGAACCTCATTACCAACTTAACATTATTATATGAGTAAATAAGCTTGGTCTACAAAGTGGAAAATACTCCAAATTTCCTAATATATATAGAATAAACTGATAAGGTACCTCATATTGATTAATTTCAGAAAGCTTATTTTATTCTTACTGTGGGAAATAAGGATAGACGGCAGGTGCCTTGGGCCAAAAAAACCCTGAATAAAGTTTTATGTTCACAGATGCCCAAGCAATGTAATATAAAAAGCAGCTGAGGGACTGACTTTTGAAGTTACATACATGCTTATCCATTAGCTACCTAATGAATGAGCATGTATATAAGCAAGATGATATACATGCCCTTCCTCTAGGCATGTTTATAGAATGAGTCATCACCTTGAACAGTAAATGACAGAGAGTAGAGAAACTTATAGTCATTTGTACACAATTTAATGTTTTACATTTGTTTAAAGGGCAGATTGAAAGTCCAAATGATTAAATTGCTTAACAGAGTAATCAGTGGTAGGTTTCAGTTAACTATGATCTTTCTTGACTATGACTTGGAATTCTGAGTTCCAGTCACTTCTGTCATTGTTCTGGGTCTATATCTTTAAGTACTGAGTAATTAAAGTCTGTTGATATAAAGTCAGGTTCAACGAATGCCAACTCATTAATTTGATTATTTGATTGTTATCAAATTAATAAAATGGTTATACAAATATAGAAAAGTTAAGAATTGATTTCTCTAAGCAAAAAACCTGGCCAAATTCCAGGAATGCTTGTGTTTCCAAAGAGTTCCATCTGTGCACCAATTGTTCATCAATTAATAATGAATGTAGATCTATGTTATTGTGACTTGGAGAAATATATGTTTTTCCCAATGTTGCAAATTTATGTTGCAATTATAAACTTTAAGATTATACTCCCCCCCTCCTCAAAAAAGTGGGTGGAAATGTCTGTGTGTCTTATATAATGAATGTTCCCAAAGCCCTGCCCACCCGCTGGCCCCCACCTGCTGGCCTCTGCCTCCCAGCAATTTGCCTCCTTGCAGCAAACAGTCTGATTCAGCACTAGCAGCTGATTAGTGGTTGGATCGGCCTCCTGGAATACTGCCTATCAGCTGTTCCAGGCCACGGGGGTCGCTGTCGCTGCACATCACCATTGCTGCCTCTGCGCACCCCATTTTCAGCCTCCAGATGTCCCGTTTTCAGCCTGCGTATGTTTGACTTCTAGGTGTCCCATTTTCGGCCTCCAGGCATCCCATTTTCAGCCTCGGCGTGCCCTGTTTGCGGCCTGTTCCAGGCGGGAATCACCACTGCCGCCTATCCCCACTACCTAAAACGAGCCAAAAATGGAGCCTGCGGAGGCCAAAAACGGGATGCACGCAGGCCAAAAATGGGTATGCGGAGGTGGCAATGGTGGCTATGGGCAGTGGCTATCCCTGCAACCTGGAACAGCTGATAGGCAGTATTCCGGGATGCCAATCCAACTGCTAATCAGCTGCTCGTGCTGAATAAGGCTGTGCTGAAGCCGACCAGGCTATTTTCTGTTTGCTGCAAAGAGGCAAATTGCTGGGAGGCAGAGACAGAAGCAGATTTTTTTTTCTTATTTTCCTCCAGAAAAGCTACTGTAGTCCTATAGTCTGGAGCATCTTATAGTCCAAAAAATACAGGATGTGTTCCGGGATGTGGAGACCTGTAAGGCATTGATTTTGGAAAGCATTATCCTGAGATCTTTTTACACAATAAATTGCAAAGAATTCATTTATGGATGCACAGAATTTATTTCCAGTTTCTTGATAAATGTCCTTTTTTCTTCTGTTAAGGTTGGGCTTCTGATAGTGACTCATTTCTTTCCCATAAAATAAATGTTCGGTCATCATTTTAAAAAGACTTTTCATAGATTCCCTCCTATACTGGAGTGTAAAACTAATCAGTTTTTTTAAAAATTGGACAAAGTAGTGGCAAAGATCTGATACAAAGATAAACATCCAACAATTGAAAGAAGCTGTGCTTGACATGGTAGCATGGAGAGCACTTGCCTATAATGTTGTTAAGAGTCAGACCTAGCTAAATGGTTAAAATAATAACGGTAGCAAAGATATCTCACCAATTAATCTTCTGCCTTCTTTCTCATCTAAATATATTTGAAGATGTTGAGATTTTATTGTAGAGATATCAAAAAAGTTAATATTCAGTATTGTGTTGACTGCATTGTTGCTTAATACGTTTAAGTTTTTTCACTGTATTTTTCATCATATGTCAGGTACATCAAACTCCCTTTGACTCAAAGCTGAATAAATTGGTTCCACTGCAACCCTCCACATGAGTCAGGGCAGGGGAGAGTTTTGCCTGAGGGCTATGCTTAAGAACTTGGCATGCAGTCATGTGCCTTTGAAGAGGCCACAACAAGGTATTTACCATGTATTTTCACATAACCAGCCAGAATGAAAGAGCTCAAGTGCATCACATTCATATAATAGCTAGATACATACGTTGTTATCAGCATAAGCTACCAGTTCCAGCTAAATGCTAGTGGCGTGCACCTTATCTTTATGCTTGTTATGACTATATTTTCTCTCAGATCCTTGGAAAATAAGGAAAATCTAAGCCTAGAAATAGCAACTTTGCTGCTGATGATGATCAGAACAATGAGAAAAAAGCAAGACCTTTCCATTTTAAATGCAGCAGAGGAAAAATCCTTATTGCTTGAAAGCAACTATTCACTATTGCTTGAAAGTGAAAAGTCTACATTGATTTACTCAAATCCCATAAGAGTTCCCTGTAATCTAATTAATTTCCTCTTTTAAATTATTGTACAGGAAAATTAAATGTTTGCTGAATACTACTAAGTAGTTAAAATTGTATTTGATTTGGGATAAGATTAGTCAGAAATCCTTTACCAATGAAGGCATTCTAATTATATTTTAAACCTTTAGTAACAGTTCTGCAAGTAAGTTACTCTTAGAAACTGTGAGATGTTTATCTTGTCTCTTATTTTTCTTAAAATGAATGTTCAAATGATAGGACATTGTCAAAGGAAGAGCATAGTTATACTTTATCTTTTAACCCTAGTCATTTGCTTATACGTTGACAGGAATTGAATGGTAATGGGAAATTATATTGATAGACATTAGCAGTATCTAATAGACTCCTATAGTAATTTTGCCTGATGATAACAATCTAATAGCTATGCTATCTTAAAAATACCTGTATTTGTTTCATGCACATTTAACAATATTTATTGTTAAAATGAATATTCTCCAACATACTAAAAAGCTCCAAGGCAGAGGTGTCAAACTCATGTCGTCATGGTAGCATCACATGATGTGTCGTGACTTTTTTCCCCTTGGCTAAACTGGGTGGGCGTGGCCAGCACATGACATATCAAGCCCGTGGGCTGTGAGTTTGACAGCTCTGCTCTGAGGTGTATCAATTGATGGTTTTATGTGATAGAAAGTACTTTAGCATATTAGAGTATCCTAATTTTGATCAATTACAACCCCTTAAAACCACCATTCCCTTCAAGTTTTTTGGTGAGCAGTGGCTGCGGGGGAGGCGGAGGTAAATAGCTTTTTGGAACAAAATGGTATATGGTATAGAAAATTCTATTAGATAGAATTACAGGGGAAAACCCTCTACTTTACAGAAATGGTTGAATTTTCTTTGTACAATTGTTCGTTTCTAAAAACTCAGAAAAGGCATTAATAACTGTCTGTTAGAAAATTCAATTCAAATAATAGATGTATCTAAAATTATTAAAACCAAAACAAATATAAACCAAGGAGCTGTCATTGTTATTATTTACATGTGTATTTATTAATTCAATTATTCCAGTGTGTTTTTAGTAAAACTATTTTGCATAGGCCAGGTAGAATCATATTTAAAATACTATTATCTTTAGCCAGAGGTAGTGGATTTGTAGAACACAATATGTATTATTATTTTTTCAAAGGAAATTAGTGTCATTTTCTCCTGATTGAGAAAAATGTGATGGATTGATAGTGGGTAAAATGACCTACTTTCTGGACCTCTAACTGGTCCAAAAAGTAGATTTTTAAAAACTCAGGATCGTTTTCTGTGCCATTTATGTCATGATGCAATTTTTTTCTCAGTCTTAGGCATTCTCAAAATAATTTTCAATGTAAATTCAGCTTACATAGGACTTATATTGTTCATTACAAATATTTGCTATTTAGTCTGAAAATTATCCAGCATCGTGCAATCAGACTAAATGTTGCAGATAAGGAATGCTGATATTTAGAATTTTAGCTGACATCAAAATTTAGGTGTCTGGGTCACTGAATTATAAGCCTTTAATACTATATTCTAAATCTATCTTTGCAAAACAAAACCAAAAAGAACAGAAACAACCATACTTGTGGAACAGGTTTTTCTGGAATAAATTTAGCAGTATGCTTAAAATAGCTTACAAATTGTTAATTCATTTGCTTAGTGCCAGTGTACTTAGGTCTGTGGTCTTTCATATAGTATATCATATGGATAGTGATAGGATGTCAATTTGTTGATATTGTTGGCTTTACTGAACCCTCTTTTCTTTAAAAAAAAAATAAATAAATTTTATCCTCAAATTCTCCTTTTTTAACCAGAATCTGAACTTTTTCTGATATTCAGTTGTTGTTCCTAGCAGATTTTCTTACCCATATTTGGCAATACTATTTCCCCTCTTTTCATCTTTACCTTTTCTTATCATATGAGGCAAAAATAGATCTCTGGTGGAGTCTGTGAATGATTGGCATTGCTTTGGGAAATTACTTCTGTATTACAAAGTAAGCTTAGCCCAGCAATAGAATTTAATTTTATATAGTCTTTAAAAAATTAAGTTTTTATTTTATAAAATTTAGGATGGTGTAACATTTTGGATTCAATGTTTTGAAAGTGCTTCAGAGTTCATCTGATCTATACACAAACCTGTCTGCAGCTCTTTATAGCAGTCATGTCTTTCTGGAACAAGCTTATGCGTACTTACTGTAAAGTAAACTTAATCGAAAGCAGCGATATTTACTTCTGAGTAGGCACAAGATTTTACCAATTTCCCTTATTTAAAAAAAAAGGAAAATCAGTATGTTCCTTTGAAAAATGATCCCAGAATTTGTGAATTAACACCATCAAACTTGGAAACAGACTCACATCTATTGAGCAAAACAACTTCATTGTACTCAAGCTGTAGCATTAATATCATAGTTCTAAACAACTTGTGGTGAGAAGTTAAATATATATTTTCATGCTTTTCAAATTGCACACTATGACTAATAGATACCAGATAAATCAGTAAACTCTAAAAATAAGCCATGAATAGCAGATTGAGTATTAACCAGAAAAAGCCACCCTCATAAATGTGTAAGCACTATTCCTACAGATTCCAAACTGACTATCTAAAAGCCCATAGCTATATGATATATACTTGGGGGCAAGTATTATTATTTTTGCACTACAATCAAGAAAGTGAGAATTTAAATATCATTTAATCTCTCATTTAAAGAAATCTATACATTCAAGGTATAAACAGCAAAAGATAAATTATTTGGAGATTGAAGCAAACAAATCCCTCAGCCATCTCTCCTTACTTAACAGTAAACATTTTCTGTTCTTTCTTCAGATTATATCAGTCTTTTTCATTTTATATCAAGATCATAAATATTCCATTAAATTAGTAACACATTGCTGGTTTTCCATAGTTCCAAAAAAATTATCTACCTAAAGCTGGTGACTCACCCTGTAATGGATTAATGAACAGATATACTGTAGCTTTTATCTACTTGGAATCACTAGTGACTTATTGGAGATTATGGGAATCCTAATACAACATCTAGAGGGAATACCAAATTGTGGAATTTTTCGTAACATCCACTTAGTAGCAGCACAATTCTGTACGTCATAAAACCACCTCATTGTTAACAACCCAGTATAGGGATGTATTAAAATATTTGATCAAATATATTTATTTGTGCTCTTTACAAATACCTGGGGACAGAGTCATAATGCATATTTTCATTCTTGGGAGGAAAAGATTCCCAGGATTCCTTTCTCTGGCTAAAGAAAGTCTACATTTGCTTGAAATATGTATTGTTATTAAAGGGTGTGGTAATTTTGGAAGATGATATACAGCTGTCTTCTAAAATAAATGACCTGGTAATCCAGGTCTGTGTTAACAAAAATAAGATATTATTTCATTTCACATGGTAATTTACATGGCCCAAAAGCAATATCCTTCCTTCCTAATATTTATAACTCTGGCTATCTTATGCAACATAATCATGAGCAGCTCATAATAAAACAGGAAAAAAGAAAAGAAAAATCAATATAGAATCTTTCAGTGCTCCCAAACACAACACATCCCCATGTATCTCTCAACAACTTCATTTGGCTTCAGTTTCAGACTACGCAAAATTTGTGGGAAAAGCCAGATCATGAAGGATTTTCAGAAAGCTAGGAAGGTAGAGGTCTGTTAGATCTTGGGGAAGTGCAGAGACCATTCATTACTGAGACGTTGTGGTGCCTAGTTCTCACTAAATGGTAGTTTTTAAGAGGAAGAATCTAGAAAGGACCTATCCTAGCTGACCTAGTGGAACAGGCAGATACCCCCAAGGAGAGGTAGTCCTGCAAATAATTTGCCCTGTGGCGTTCAAGCTTTAAAAGTGATAACCAGAACATTGAATCATAGCTGGAAAGAAACTGAAAGTCAATGCAATTAACACAGTAGTGGTCTAACATGAGCCCCACTTTTCTGAATTGTCTTCAAGGCTAACTCCATGCAGAGGTGCCAACATTTTCCCCCCAACATCCCCTGTCCGCTCAAGGAAATATAGCCCATGTAGGACTAGTGTTCTCATAGTCTTTCCTTTCTTGAAAAGATGTGTGTTAAGAAATATTAAGAAAATAATGTCTCAACAAGCTTTAGACTTCTCTCTGATTTTCATGCCAATGTCAGGTACTACATATATAGAATGCGAAGCAACAAGAAGACGGTAGTTTTTGCTTGGTTTTGTGCAAACAAGACCAAACAATTTCTAGAAATCTAGGGTTATGTGCATGGATTAAAGCTCAGAAACCAAGGCTGGAAAATATTCTCAATTAAGAACTATATCAGTCTTCGATAATCACTTCAAGTAGTTCTGTTCTCTTAAGACAACATAGTAATTACCTATTTCTGAATTTTTGAGCAATGTGTGTCAGTTTGAAGAATTGGATTTTAAATATATTGGATGATTATTATTTATGGGACAGCGGTTAAGACACTGGGTTTGTCAGCTGGAAAGCCGCCAACCCAGTTCAAGACCTAAGCTCCATGTGAAAGGGTGAGTTCCCATATTTGCCCCAGCTCCTGGCAACCTAGCAGTTTGAAACCATACAAATGCAAGTAGATAAATAGGTGGGAAGGTAACAGTGTTCCCGATGTCATGCTCGCCACGTGATCATGGAAATGTGTTCAGACAGTGCTGGCTCAATGGCCTTGAAAGGGAGATGAGCACCTCCCCCTATTGTTGGCAACAATTAGCAGAATAAAATCCGCAGAGAAATCCTTTGTCTTTACCCTTTTTACTATTATTTATAGGATTCAGATTTGAGTCTAGAATCTAGTATTTTAGTGGAAGAGAGTACTAAAGAAGGAATCACACCATCACAGAGTTAGAAGGGACTCTATGAATCCAACTCTTGGCTCAAGGGAATTCCAATTTAAAGCCAGTCCAACAGAAAGTGGTCTATCTTCTGAAACAGTGAGATTTAATGTCTCCCATGATAATTGGCTTCACTATCAAACTCTGCATGCTATGGGGGTTTTAACATTTGAATGGGAATCTGCCTTCTTGTAATTTAAAGCCAGAATTCTATATTTGCACTCTGGCATGCTTCGATATGTCATCCCTTCAATTGTTTGAAAAGTGCTACCATACCCCTCTCAGTCATTTTTTTTTCTTGAACATTAATTAATCAATCCCAACTCCCTCGGTCTCTCCTGATGAAGCTTGGTTTCCAGGACATTGTTTTGCTAAGATCAAGGGATATTAAGTCCACCCCAATCCCAGTGATAAAAATAATTGGGGTGGGGGGGGGGAACACATCTTGGCAAGACTACAGCTGTTAAAAAAGTTCTGCAGCCTTCTATTAATCTTTGCACTGTTTTCATACAGATCAAATCTCTTTATGATTTACTTTAGACTCTTCCCAGGTATTGACATTACATTTACAGTATTGCTATGTGATTTCTCCTTTCCCCCATTAGAAGGTAGGGGCAACAGTTGTCTTTCCTCCAATTGTCTCATACAGTACTTCTCTCAGCCAGTCTAGGCCGGACCTAGTAGGAACAAAGGGAGCCTGGACACGCACTCAAACACGGCAAAACTCTGCTTTAATCGCTGTCGGGAATGGTCTAGTGGATGGCATGTGGCTGCCACAGAACGCCACCAGGACTGGTCAGCTGGGTGGCGCAGGTTCGGAAGGGAATGCTCCAGCCGTGCAGCATCATCAAAGGTGGCCCCTCTGCCAGGGAGCCACTGCCTCTCTAGTTGCATCTCCTCTCACGTATGGCGAGTCCCACGCCGGGACTCAACAAGTTCATTGATCTCCTGAATTTCTTAAAGATAACAGATGAGGCTTTATCAGATTATCATTAAACTGTACATACACAGATAGTCCTCAACTTACAACAATTCATTAAGTGAATGTCCAAAGTTAAAACAGAACTGAAAAATCTTACTTGTGACAATTTTTCATAATTATGACCTTTTCAGCATCCTTATAATCATGTGATCAAAATTCAGA